AAATAAATGTGTAATTTGATATACTGTACTGATGCAGGTACTGATGTTGAAGATGCCATTCCAATAGAACAACTTTTTTTTCCAATGAAGATTTAAATTGACTTTATGAGGTCTCTGATAACAGGCGCTGTTATTGATTACCATCATATGAAACTCTTCCAGATAAAAAAAAGTCTACTTTTAATAAAAACTGAATCTTTATCATTTTGTCTTCTGCTCATATAGGTCCTTGACTGTTTTTTATTGAAAATATTCATTTAAATCACTTCCTGTAATGGTCCTCAGCTTTTCTTAATCTCAACCAGTTTGGAAGATAATGGAACTCATATTGATGCTGTTGCATTTGAACAAACAAATTGCATGTGTTATTGAATTTTCAACGCTCATTACATTTGCCTTTCAGCAGATTAACCCCATTTGTTAACTGCTGTGACTTCCTTTAATTTAAATTAGTTTTCAATATATTATCACAAACTCTCTATAATTAACTTACTAATTATGTGTTTTTTTTGACAAATATACTAAACTATCATTATACTTGCCTAAAACCAATTATAACTTATGAAGAATGACAACTTTAACTGTTTAATTTAACTTGTGTGAACCAATGAATTGATGACTATCAGTTTATTAAATTTGTTGCCAACATGTATTTCTCCCCTTTTAGTATCAATATATATGTATGTATAACGTCACACAAAAGTTGATGTGCAATATATGCCACGATAGTTAAAAGCTTCTGAAAGCAATTTCTCACAGCGTTTACTTTAATAACACTACAGTTTGTGTAGGCAAGATAGGCCAGGAAATTATTGATTAAAGTTTTGTATTTCATCTTCTATCTGTGAATCAAGCATGTTTTGAATTACCAAAGAACAGGAAATGTTGTACCTTTCTGAATATCTTTTACCTTCAGTTCCTTTTCTTTGTACAAAGAATTGATTAAAAGCTTCAGGTTTGACACTACTATGTAAATTTTCTTTCTTGTACAAGTATTAACTTGATACATTTCGTTAAGTTTTCCAATTTGAAATTTGTCAATGTTTTAGGATTGCCAGTCTTCTGTTAAACAGCAGAAACTCAGCTCTGTTTGTTTGAAGATCTACATGGTACTTGTAGTGCATTTATTATAATATTGCTTTCAAACATGCAAGAAGAAAAATTTATCAGTAATATTTCACTTATTACAATGACATTTTGTTTTTATTTTCAATTTATTTTGAATATTTGTTGAGATATAAATCAATGGATAACCAGTGTTGGTTTACTTTGCTTCATCTTAAAAGATCAATACAAAAATGTTGCTACTAGTATACACAAAATGCTCTTCTTGGCAACACGAAATATTCTAAAAAAAAATCAGTAATTGATGTTACTGCATAATTCACTTGAACATCTATTCACATTGTTTTCCATCATTGGCAATTTGCTTATCGCTTTTATAGTTGAATTATTTTGATTATCTTAAAGAGCATAATTTTTCACAATATGATCAGAAATGAGTGATACTGGCCATGTAAATGCATCTATATCTCTTCTATGGAAAGTATTGACCACAACTTAATTAACATGTAGTGATGACGAGTCATTGTACATTGTTTTGTTCTGCAATTTTAAAAAGCTTATTTATTTTCTTATTTGGAAAGACACCTGTTTTGCAATTTGTTTAATTGGTATTTTAATAGCTTTTAATTTTGCAGTTCTATTTGCTGTCTAATTAAAACTAATTAGTATTCATAACATTCAGGTAATATTGTGACAATTACTATATAATATGATATGATAATTAGGCTTCATCTTCATGGTGTGCATGTATAAATTATTTGATGCTAGAATTGAGCATCACTAGATTGTAAAGATGCAAGTGTAATTGCCAATTAACAATTCAATGAATACCAATAAACCATGGCAATTGACCATGTAGCATTTTATGCATTCATCAAAACCACTAATAACATTCTTATGCTAAAATAGTACATACAGTATATACAAAATGACATGATGTATCTATATGGCGGTATTCCCAAGATAAACCACAAGGCTTATGCTTATTTATTCACAATCCTTTGGGATGACTATGGATTACTAGTATGAAATAGTGAAGATGTTATGATAGTCTAGTGATTTTCGTAGATATATTTATTGAAAGATTTCTTCCAAAATGTTTGATATGATTTTAAAATCCCATTGGAAGCTACAGTACTTAGATCTATACTTCATGCTTCACTACATGCGTGTCTACATTTACTGAGTAGTGTTTTGATACATGTACTTTGACATCTAATTGTTGTTTTACTTCAATAGTCATGATGAAGTGTGTGTAAAAATTGATAATTCACATCTTATACATGGCTTAAGTAGAAACTACATAAATGGTTATAGTTGGCCAATGTATGTGAGGCTTACATTAGCTGATTACAATCATTCATATAAATAAATAGGTGTTGGCTGCAGACACTGTTAGCGAGAATGATTTTCATTCACATTCATTTTATAGCTTATAGCACCAGAGATTGCATAATTTTAATTCAACTATCATCTGAAAAAAAATTTCAATTTCAACCGGCCATTTTACCTTGAAAATACAAGATGATTATAATAACTACTAAAACATTTTGTGTACCTAGATACAATGTCATGCAAGACGCAACAAATTCTCATCTCTGAACACAAATGATAGCACAGATGTGAATCATGTAAAATGCTTCAGGCTGTTTATGACTGCAAGCAGAATAGAGGTATAATCATAATAATAAGCTTATCACAAGAATACTGCAAAGTATGTACTCTTGCAGTAATTAAGAAACTGCATCTGTCTCCATTATGCATAGATTGATAAGTTCACCATACTGGCTTTGTCCACACTTAGCGATATTTTCATAATAACCTTAAATTGCTAAATGTTTAATATCAATTATTACTTAATTTTGTCATTTGGGGGGGGGGGGTCAAGAGGTCAAGGGCCGGCACCGTTCATCATGCATGTTTCTATTCTATTAGAAGTACATTGTACATCCCCAATTGCACATAACCCAAAAATGTGTTTTATTTTGAACCATTAAATTATGATTTTCCCCTATTGAAACACACTTATAATGTACATAAGTGTATAATTATGCCACTACTTTTACTAAATATATTAAATTTTTTTTATCTTTTTTAACCATAATTTTGTGGTTGGTCTGGCTCTAATTTTTCCTGTTATAGTTCAACATGCTTATAATTCATATTTTTATTTTGTAAAAAAAATAGATTTTTTTTATATAGTTTGTTAAAATACAGGTCATGGACATATTTTTAAATTACCAAAATAGTTTTCGAACTCTTCCTATATCAAGTCAACTCAGGTGTGTTTTTGTTACGGCTCATTTATTTATTTCTAGACATGCAGAACAAACTAGTTTTAATGCAATGTTGAACTTCAAACTCAGACAAATGAGCTAATTAGGGTAATAGATATCCACTAATTTGTCTTGGCAGTGTTTTATAGTTTTATCATAGCTTTTCCATTGAAATCTATTGCTTATGCCACTATTGGTATTTGAACATATGCTTTCTACCGGGTAATACTCAGATGCAGTGACACAGTTGGTTTATATAATCTGATTTTGTGATTCCTGTCGCATAATCTGAGGGTGTCATTTTGTTTTCGAGTCATGTGATCACTTAGCACTAGATGACGTAAATAGGCAGGAAATAATTAACACTTAGAAGTAACAATGACAGGAATTTTGAGTTTAGAACAGGCAATGAAAGGAAATCGCATGTATATTGATCACTAGTTTATTCTTATTCCCATCAATGTATCTAAGCAGTAAAATCTATTAAGGTCTTAACCATATAACTGAGACAATGCATCTTCACTTTTATGTCTTTATTATTAAATTATATTATACTGTGACATCATATTTTAAATGCATCAGTGTGATTGGTCAGACATGTAGACATTTAGACGATGTGATGTAACACAGTTATAATTTAAAACTGATACAGAGACATTGCATACATTATATCTATTCACTTGTGCTTCAGAAGAAGTCCAAAAAACAGGATTTCACCTTACGATTGTCCATCCCGTAGTTTGACTGCCTGTATCTCAGACATAACTAGACTGATCATATTCAAACTTCACCCATACATTATGGAATACATTATTTAATTTGTTTTGTGTCATGATCCAATTCAAGATGGCCGAATGTTGACCATTTTAATTCCAAAAATTCATCAAAATCAAACATTTATATTATTCCCAATCCAGAATCATACAGTCATGTATGAACGGATGTTGTTCATATTTGGTAAAATATAGGACCTTAATGCACATCTTTGTTTTGAAGATTGGCTGCCTGGTGGCAATTTTATTTTCACGAATGCTCTTTCAAAGCCACATCTCTGACATGCCTTGATCAATAATGTTCAAACATCACAATATAAATCTTGTCACACATATGTACATGTGATTGTTCCACGATCCAATTAAAAATTTAAAGCTAAAAAAAATCATCAAAATCAAACCTTCTTACAATTCTATGACTCTATTTCAGTCGTGCATAGACAAATTTGGAAAACTGTTCATGCACATCTGTATCAACTTGCATGTTATGGTTCTGTGCAGTATTTTATGGTATGCCAAAGCAAACAATTACTTATTTACATGCATATATATATAGAATGTCATTTTCAAATTTAGTCTTTTAGAATTCACAAATGTCATGGTTGGCATAATATGCATGTATATCATGCAATAGAACATATTGTGATTCATAGAATAGCATAGCCATTTTCAAGACCAAAATTGATAAAATTGCTTTGGCATTATAAGAATGATATAAGCAATGTCAAAGACATCAAGACAAATTCATTAAATATCAAGACGATTATCTTTGATGCCTTTATGATTTTCAAGCCCTGGAATAGAATAGGATAGAGTAAGGCTGTACCAACCATCCTACAATTGGAAAAATCAATAAAAACGGATATCTGACTTAAAGTCAAACATTGTACGTGACATTTTTTTTCGCTTGGAATTAATTTTCCCTATTTTCGCTGAAGGAATGATTCAATGAGAATAAAATCTAGCAAATGTACCTTTATTCCTATATTTTTCATTCAACTTCATACAAAACACCCAAAATGTCTTTTCAGTGAAAATTAATTCCAGCCAAAATAAAGTATTTTACAGTAAACTATTATAATTTAAAATACTTTTTATTGTTGTCTGTGTGCCAGCTTTTTGAGTTGTAAATAGTATTAATACTAAATGTAGATCGATAACTTCAGGATTCAATTTTGGATGGTAAATCGTACATTTGGATGTAATTTTAATATCTATCATTTTCCTTATATACTGATTACTTGAATGTCATAGTGTACTCAAAGTTGAATGGCATGAACTTAGCAGTCATATAGGTTAATTATCCCCATAGGAGCCATCTTTGAATTCAGCATGCATGAATATTAATAATACAGATATACTTCCCGTATGCTACAATTTTATAAAATTTGGCCTGTTGAAACTGGTTGCCCTCTTAAGTTGAGTCTCAACTCTAAAGTTCAAGCCCCGATATACTATAATATGTATATATGCATTTTCTGCTGCCACAATGTCCAGGGGTAAAAGCCATATTTGCCGTATGTGTGCATGTATACTGAATCATTAAAATATGGGTTTCTAAAACAATTACCGGTATACCACATTTAAAGCACATGCATGTAAACAAAAAAATTACATTTGTTGTATACTGGATTTATTTTGACCATATATCCACCTGTCATTTACAGACCATAGACATACCTGGAACCTCTGCCATTTGGGCAAGTGTATGCACTACTATTGGAGCAAATACATATATATTCATGAACACAATTTTGTTTTGTGTCTTTACAGAAGTGTTGCGAAACTCATCGATGGTAAGGCCTTTGCTAAAAAAGTGAGAGCTGAGGTGAAAGCAGAAGTTACTGAGTGGGTGAATCAGGGGAATCGTCCACCTCATTTAAGTGTTGTCCTCGTAGGAGATGATCCAGCCAGTGCTTCCTATGTTAGAAGTAAAACTAGAGCAGCAAGACAAGCAGGTATGTTGTAAAAAGTCAATCCTTGCTGTAAAATTATGTTACTTGTACTCTACTTGTCATAGAACTGTTCATATTTTACAATTACGTCATTGATATATTATTTGTCATTTTAACACGCTCAAATAACAAGTACAATTTAAGACAAAATGTTGTTCATCTTCAACATGGTCATTGTCACACATAATGCAGATTCTGTCTTCAATATCCATGCACATATGCCGACCTGTTTCATTTTTTGACTGGTTGCCAAGTCTAAACTCTGTTTATTTGCGAAGTTCACTGTTTTTCACATTTGTTAAGTACATGTTTACAATGTAGTTTGCTCTTCATATATTGAATGGGTAAAGTGAGTGACAGTCAACCCTTGGGTTAAATTCAAACACCCAATTTAAAAGTGAATTCTTGTCAGTTTGATGAACAATTGTGACGTTAAAAAAGGTGATAATACACTTGTTATCTTTCGGCACTCATTTGAGAATACAACTCTCGAACTATAATTTTAAATTCAGTTATTATAAATTTAATCATTGTTGCGCCTATAATCTTTCCACTCACTAATGATCTTGACCCACAAATCAATCAAGTCAATCACAATATATGTGGGTGGCGGGGTATGTATGGTATATTCATTCAAACTTTGTGTTGTTACTCATAGTGGGTTACTTCTGCACATTTATTTTTACAATTTGATTCAAAATTAATATTTATGATCTGATTCAATTTCTACATATATGTAGGTTTCTTCTCTAATATTTGAATGCACTATATGCCTAAAAACTCCTGCATGTTGGGTAGTAGGCAAATTCCATAAAATAATGTAAAAGCTTATTTTTTCAGTGATACCTATTCACTTTTATTAGCTCTGCTGTCAACTTTGTCGAGCAGAGCTTATCATATGAGTCATTGTTCGTCGTCTGCATATACTTTTTCGACTTCTTGAAAACTACAAGCCTGATTGCATTGATACTTGGTGTATATGTATACCTAGGGTAGACTTCAGATTAGTTCATTTCATGATTACTGGGGTGTATCTTTAATTCTCTAATTTTGATAAATATTTTTTTTCATTTTTTGTAAAAAGTGATATTTTCATTTTCTTGTTGAAAACCAGTAGTCCGATTGCTTTGATATTATACAAATAGGTACTACAGGTAGACCACTCTCAGA